TTTCTAACCCAAACCATTCTATGATTGTATGGTGAGTATCCACTCTGGGGAGGGCATGCTTCTGTCACAGAAACATATAATAGGTAGGGTTGGAAAAGACCTTAAGATCTTATCAAAGGTGTATTTGTAATGAAGCTCTGGGTTTAGGCAGGCCCTAGCAGAGCCATAGCTGAGTTAACTCAGAATCACCTGCGAACAGTACACACCACAGTCCTTTTAAGTAATATGGATATTATCAATAAAGATCCACAAGAAAATACCGGATTTTTCCAAAGTATCTGACCTTACCCAAATCGAATTCAGTGTGAGCTCTACACACAGTGTTATGGTTCAAAAAGCATTATGCAGAAGAGAGAGATTTAATTCCAAGCAACTTTGCAATTGCACATTTTAATTCTTATTTAAAGAAAGAGTGATTCTCAAGGGCCTGTTAACGGTAAAACATAATGGCTTGAGATTAGAGCTTTTATGCAGAATTTGGTACCTCTTTTTTGCTAAGCAGAAGACTGCATTTTACATATTTATGTAACTAAATAGCTTAATTTTAAATCAGACTCTTAGCTTCCATGTTGTTAAAATAGTGACTGACATCTCCCATTTCCTTGATGATATTTTTACTCCGATTTGCCAGGCTGCATGGTTGGAAATTGTAATTCCAGTAAACATACACAAAAGTTGTATTTTAAAATAATTCTCAAGTATCTTTCAATTAAATTAAAAGAAAGTTTCATTTTAAACACAAGCCAGTTTTTACTATGCATTTGGGTTCTGGGAGTAGAAGCAAGAGCTTCTAACTAACAGATCTTTCACATAACCACTAAATTTCATCTTCTAAACTCCTGCTTGAAGAAGAATCCATTTTTTCTGTTTTCTGAAGTCCCAGTATCTCAACATCAACTGAACTAGTAAATTAACAGAATTAGATTAACAAACCAGAATGAATGTTCTTTTTCCTGTGTCTAGAGGCAGCTAATTCTAAAGACAAACAGGGTTAGAATATTAAGTTTCAATGCCAAACGCTTTAAGCTGAAAGCTACCAGCTACAGTTTTCACTTCTGTTTGCTCTGGTTTTAAAGCTGATCTGCAAACTACCTGATTTTTAAATACAAGTGTGGGATTTGACATATATTATTAATTACAGGCTTTGAAAAAATTAAGTTTATTAGATTTAAGAAAAAACACAGGCAAACATTTAAGTCTTCAGAAGAGTGAGTTTTTCTCTCCCCAGGAACTAGTAACTTAGGAACTTTCTGTGCAGCACAGAAAAATAATGAAATCTTAGCATTCTTCATCACCCACACTACTGTAGTACCTCAGTTTCCTAATTAAACCCTTAACTGGTTAAAAAAAGCTGAATGTTTCAGTCATTATCAGCAAAGAATATTAATTACAACACATTCTAAAAGTTCAAATTGTAAGGGAAATGGTTCACAGACTCAAAACAGTCAGTAACATAAACCTTAGCTTTGAGATCATCTCGCTTTTGTCCTCTACCACAATCCAAGGCTGAAGGAGTTTTGTTGGTTTATTTTTCCCTAATATCCTGACATTTTCAAAAGAACTATAAATTTTAAGTCATTTTCTATGCTAAACAGACCCTTGCATAACATCATACAATACCAATCTCATAAATACATTTCTGGCACTGTCATCCACACTCCAACTAGCTTGGAACACCACTACCCGTGTCTGAGCAACATGCTATCAATAAAAGACTTCAAATAAAACAGCGAGTTCTATTTTGGATGTCTTCAGGAGAGAAGATGAAAAGATGCAGCTACTTTTCAAACACGCTGGAGAGCATTTAGTTTGATTTTTCAAAGACACTAAACATCCCTGTTACCACAGATTTACTCAGGCATATAATGTCTCAAGACAAGAAACAAAAACTGCCTCACTGCAAGGTTTCAAACCTTTTTAGGATTAGGGATTAGCGATGTCATATGTAGACAAGCACAGCAGAAGAGCTTAAAACCTTGTCTTCAACCAAGCTTTCCATACATACATCAACTAAGCTTCATTAAAAGCCCTGGAGTATCCAAGGACCTTTTGACTGCAAGTAAGATCTACAGACTTATTCCAGTTTATCAGTTCCTTTCAGCTCCTCTCCTTTCCCCTCTGCTGATCTGAGCCACTAAACAGAGGCAAGTCACCAGCAAGCAAAGACCTAAAAAAGCTCAGCAGCGAACTTCTTTGCTGCAGGAGTCAATGAGGAGAGACATTTAGCCATAACTAATGGAGAAAAGAGAAAAACTACAACATTCTACTCCCATCCTCTTCATCATAAAACAGAGAACAATGAAAAAAAAATGCACTTTTTACCTTGCTTACTGCAAACAAAAACATTTTTTAAAACCTTTCATCACTAGTTCAATCCCTTTACTCTGTGTGATAAACAAACCTGCTTGACAACTGTTTTGTTTGTGTTATATATCTTAGGAAAAATACTTCACTTTTTGCAAAATGCTGCATGGTCCTTCCCCACAAAAGGGTTCTGTGCTGGGTTCAGCTACAGCAGTCATTTTTTCTCCTTCTTAGCAGCTGGTGCAGTGCTGTGTTTTTGACTTTCAGTCTGGGAACAACGCTGATAACACCGATGTTTTTAGTTGTTGCTCAGTAATGTTTACTCTGACCAAGGACTTTCTCAGTCTCATGCTCTGCCAGGGAGGAGGGGAAGCCAGGAGGAAGCAGAGGCAGGACACCTGACCCAAACTGGCCAAAGGGCTATTCCATACCACAGCACGTCATGCCCAGTATATAAACTGGGGGGAGTTACCCAGAAGGCCCAGATCGCTGCTCAGGTCGGGCTGGGTATCGGTCGGCGGGGGGTGAGCGGTTGTGTCCTCTCCCCTTGTTATTCCTCTTATCATTATTATTGGTAGCAGCAGTGGTTTGTATTATACCTTAGTTACTGGAGTGCTCTTATCTCAACCCGTGGGAGTTACATTCTTTTGATTCTCCTCCCCATCCCTCTGGGAATGGGGGGAGGCAGAAGGGAGGGGAGGGAGCGAGCGGCTGCGTGGTTCTGAGTTACCGCCTGGGCTTCAACCACGACAGGTTCTCACACACAACTACTATTTCTAAAAACCATCCAGACACATTCATTCCGTTGCATCCCCGGATAAATTTAATAAATTCCACTGAAATGTATTGCTGAATTAAATATACCTTTTGAAAGAAACCACAGAAACTTACAGAAACTTAAGCCCACTGCCCATGTTAAACGCTGTTTACTCCTATTCCATCATGTTCAGCTTCTACAAGGTCATTGTCCCAAACACGTTGACAAGGATCATGCCTACTCACTTAGATGAAATCTGTATCCACACTATGAATATTTCATCAGAAAACATATTTTATCAGAAAACTCATGATAGATTCAGTCTGAGCTACGACATATTCTTCTCTTCTGAATTTACTTTTCAACCTCAATTCCTCTCAATCTCTTCATGAAAGCTGGTAGCATTTTTAAATAATACTTCTTTTTTTAATCCATGCATAAATTAAGCTCTGTGATCATAGTCTTAATTCTTACAGAGGAAACAGAGCATTACGCTTGAGGGAGTCAATCTACAGATGGAAAATATTAAGGGAATTTTTATTTTAGATTACTACACATCAAGGTCAGAACAGTAACATTTAAAGCTAATAACACTGTGTATGTAACTGAATACCATCAATAAGCTACCTTCGGCATACACAGAATTCCATCACTTCTGTGCTCTCCTCTACTTCTCAAATTAATATGTTTCAAATCAAATTCACATTGTTCGAGCGTAGTACAGAAAAAAGTGCAAATATCTTCCTTTTAAAAACCATACCTTGATCGGAAAGAAAGTCCAGCATGGTCTGGAGCAGGAAAGACAGATGCCTGACACACAGAGCAGGATTGCCCATTCTTCTGGAAGCATATACTAGTTCATGAAGCAAACGCATCTGTACTGCAGCCCATCCTCTGTGAGTTCCTATAAAGTAAGCAGTCATTTAATACTTTTGAAAGCTATAAGTCACCTCAAGGTCACGTTTCCTCTATATACCAAGCAATAATTTAATGATACTTTTAAGAATCACCCAATAGAACCAATAATTACAAAATCCAAATCTTTTACGCAGAAGAGAAATTAGGATCTTTGCATTTGCTTGAATATTTAAATGTGAAAGCAATTCTTGTTTTATATGCTTGTCTATACTTGACTATACTAAATATATGCTTGTCTACACTAAATTTATCATTAGAATCCAGAAAATGAAGTTACATTTTCCATGAAGTAAAAACAAAATGATACACAAAGCCTTTAATATGTCGTAATTTTTAAATTCTCTGAACAAGAAATTCACATGAGATTTAGAATCATAGAATGGTTTGTGTTGGAAGGGACCTTAAAGCTCATCCAGTTCCAACCCCCTGCCACAGGCAGGGACACCTTCCACTAGACCAGGTTGCTCCAAGCCCCTGTGTCCAACCTGGCCTTGAACACTGCCAGGGATGGAGCAGCCACAGCTTCTCTGGGCACCCTGGGCCAGCGCCTCACCACGCTCATGGTTTCATACAGAACACTTAATTTTTATCCAAATCAAGTACTTCTTAAGTCTCTTTAAATATAAAGCAAAAGGTATTTTCTCTAAATTCTCTCCTGGCCATGAAAGGTCAATTAGAAGCAATAAAACTACAGGACATGAGGCACACTTGCTGATTTTCAGTCTTTAAAAACTAAGTTTCAGACTATAAATCATTTTATATTTGCAAAGTATCTATGGTAACAGGAAAGACATCATCACAGTGCAACTTTCCTTTCAAAACCATCATGTGCAGTACTCTCCATGAAACTTAACCTGTTTCAAGTAGTAAGCAAGAGCAGCAATTTCTAAGTAACAGCTATTCCAAGATGTGCAGTATTTCCTAAACTTCTACAAAGCCTTCTTTCTAGTATCACCCTTCAGCATTTAGCAAACTTTTCTAGCAATATTTACTGCAACCAAACCTTGAAAGTTTAGATTCTGCACGTAGTCTTGTTATTTTTCATGTATGAAATGTTATTCTTATCAAGTAGTGAAGAGTTTGCAGTGCTCTTTCCTTATGTCAGTGAAACAGCCATTTTAGGGGTAAAAATCAGACAAAGGACTTCAGTGCAACATGAAGGTAAGGTAAATGTGAAAGATAAACACCAGTCATGTCATCACTTCTTGGAAACCTTCTACAACCTCTTCTCCAACAGTCTCACACCAGTCTTCTCCTTTTCTATCATTGGGTTGAAAGGACCTTAAAGATCATCTAGTTCCAACCTCTGTTTGTGATTGGGGCCAATATGTTATTTGCTCCTCCAAGGTGTACAGATGTCCTGTCCCAGAGGGTGTGCTTACTCTGGGAAGCAGGAGGTGGCACAGGGGGAACTGTGTCCAGGCACAAGTCCAGCACATCCCCTCTTCCGAGATCCTTTGTATCTTTCTGTCTAGTCCACTTGGCATTTTCTGCCTCCTCTCACAAATAATTTCTTTCAGTGACTGCTAAAATCACACCAGTTTTAAAAATCACCAACAATCCACACATACAGTGGGTTGTCCACATGCCTGTTTGGTCAGTGGAGGTAAGAGAGCTTGGAAGGTATCACCTAGTAGCTAGTCAGGTAAGTTTCTCCATGTACTACCTTGACTGAATTGACTGGATAGCTCCATTACTTCAATGGCTAAGTGACCTAGCACATACAGAAACAACTAAACTGACAACTGGACTTAAACATCAATCTGGAATCTCAAAAATACTCAATGTACTCTCACAAAAGGGAGAAGAATATTCCAGCTGCTGTTCATCCACATTTAAACCAGTTCAGAGGTTTTATACTGGTGAACTCATAGAATCACAGAATAGTTTGGGTTGGAAAGGACCTTAAGATCATCTAGTTCCAACCCCCCTGCCATGAGCAGGGACACCACACACTAAACTCCACCTCTTTTCCACCAGTACATGCACAGCCCATTGCCTGCTGCTCCTTTCCTGCAGCTACAACATTTAGTGAATGGACCCCAATAATTCTACTATACAAAAGAATGCAAGTTTGGGGGCAACACAGGTTCACTCAGAAGGAGTTCCCAAGCAGCATATTAACTGTGTCTTCTTTTAGAGGAAAAATGCAGCATGGTGTATTAAAATCAAGACAACTTTTTTTAATTATTACTTTATATACAGCTTTGTATAACATTGACAAAATTGTTGAAGCATAGTTTACCTAAAGAAGGGCAGAAGGCAGCACACAGCTTGCAGAAAGTGAACACAGTATTTAACAGCTACACGAATTGGCATGTGTTCTTATGGACTATTTTTTCCTTTGGTTTTTAATAGATGCAACAAAATAGTAATTCAAACGGTAGATAGTCTCTAAAACCTGTTGAAGTGTCTTACCCAAATGCTAGGCTTACAGATAACACCACTCTGATCTAATTTGTGGGAAAATGTGACATATTTGACCCTACAGATAGGGTCAAATGTATATTTACATTTGTATAATTACATTATACATGTATAGATGTATATTTATAATTACATTCTAGAGATGTATAATTACATTCTACCTACATGTGCCTATATATATACACATCAAAAATACGTGAAAGACTCTTTCATTATAAGATCAAACAGCATCAAATACCAGAAGAAATACAATTGCTGATGCAGAAGCTGAAGGAACTTTATTGAAAAAATACTTGAAAATAAAACATGGTCTTTTTTGTACTGAGAAGTGTATAGTCAAAACCAAAGACATTTTGAAGAAGAGTAGAAATGAAGCTCTCATAAATAAAACAATTATTTGCTGCCAATGGGGGAATACAGCGATACATTCATTTAAATCATTGAAGCTTTAAGTCTTTGAAAGCAACACTAAGAAAAAGTGAAGGTGCAGTGTTAAAGAACTATTTGCTGCAATTAGCTTTGGGTAAGTAAATGACATTGGCTTCATTTGGTACCTCTCAAAGAAATGGGTTCTAGAAAGCCAGTTGAGTGACATCCTCTGCTAATACTCTCCCAGAGACACTTACCTTTGCTGAAATCTTTAGGATCCAACGATAAGCTATAGCCAGGGAGGGTTTCCAAGAGCAGTTTGTAGCAGGCCCTCCAGCCAGGCTCTGGGATGCTGGGGGCTGCACACTGCATTGCTGCTATGCGCTTGAAGAAGGCAGACTTGCGGTGGAAGCCGATCCGCTCGTAGAGCTCAGACAGAATGCTGTAGCGCTGGATTTTCTCTTCTTCTGAAAGCTGAAATGTAAAGGGAAAAGAGAAAAGGATTGGTTTTAAGCAATATTTTAAAGCATATATCCAAGTTTAAAATAAAAAAATAGCAGGAGGGGGGAAAAATGTACTAGAGACATCTCCAACACTAAGAAGGCCTGGGAATTTGCATACAGTCAGTCATGACAGCTTTTACTGACAGGAGAACTTCAGCTTGTTTCAAGTTCAACAGCTAACAAAAACAGCAAAGACAGAGTTCTTTAGCAACTTTATTTGCTAAGGAATAAATACGTATGTCAGTAATGTCAGTAAACAGTCAAAGCAGTCAGTAACAGCTCCACATTTTATGAAAAATGTTTAACATGATCATATAATCCCAGACTGGTTTGTGTTGGAAGGGATCTTCAAGATCACCCAGTTCCAACCCCCTGCCACGGGCAGGGACACCTTCCACTAGAGCAGGTTGCTCCAAGCCCCTGTGTCCAACCTGGCCTTGAACACTGCCAGGGATGGGGCAGCCACAGCTTCTCTGGGCACCCTTTGCCAGCACCTCAGCACCCTCACAGGGAAGAAGTTCCTCCTAATGGCTAACCTAAATCTACCCTCAATTGGTTTAAAGCCCTTATCACTTGTCCTACCCCTACAGGCCCTTGCAAAAAGTCCCTCTCCAGCTCTCCTGTAGGCCTCTTACCTAATGATATTCATGTGCATAGTAAGAACGCCTAAAAAAAATACCCTTTCCAGGATCTATTGATTTACCAACATTTTCATCCCTTTAAGACTGAATCTCGTTATTAATCTTGAAATCTCAAGCTACGAAAGTAAAAAAATTACTGTCTTGATTTTCTTTATGTCTCTGATCTTGTAAGCCACAAATTTTTCAGTCCATCATACTATATGCAGACTGCCAACCAGTGAGGAAGAATTTAGTGAACGCCCCATTAGTTAGAACAAACTTGATAAGGAACTACCAACATGTGCTTCTTTAGCTTATCAGTATATTGGCACAAGTCCCAAGTAACCATTGTTTTCGCCTCTGGTTTGAATGACTGTCTTGCTTTGAAACCAGACAGCTAAGAAGAAACTACTGCAAAACTCTGGAAGCTACCGACTACTTCAAGCCTACATCCCACGAACAAGCAATACTGAGCTCTGAAGGTGGACCAATGCTGACACCTAGCGCACAACACCTGGCATGCACAACCAAAAGCAATATAAAGTATTTTAAAAGACTCTAACACGTTTTGCAAAGGCGTTTAAAATGACAAACTTCACACAAAAATAGCACTAAGGGACAGAAACAGTGTTTCTGCAACTCGTTCTCCAAACCTGAAGATATCAATCAGTGGATTCTGTGCATTGCATTTCAGATACCTAAAACCTTCAAAAGTAATAGATGATGCCGCACTGGTTAACTTTAACAGAAATAATTAGGTCTTATAAATGAAGCTTCAAAACATCTTTTAGTCGCTTAAATCTCGATATAATTACCAAAAGAAGTCTGTTTTCAAAAGTCACTTCTGATTTTGGATATAGGGATACGAGAGACCTCAAAGCAGCCTTACTTTTCACAGAAGGCATCATCATAACCTCATCTAGTAGTTCAGATCTTAGTACTTCAGGATACAAAGACACAGGCAGATAAGTCTAGCAAATCATTATAGAAAGTTTCAGACAATTTTTGAAGCTGAAGTTTCTATTTCCCTCAGAAATGAAAACCCAAGACGAGGCCCCGTGCAAAAATACCACCCATCCATATAAAGGACCAATCCCAATAACAAGAGTTATAAATTGCACCAAGCTGAAAACTTCCATGAATCAATGCAGCTGGAAAGGACACAAGGCACAAAAATAAAACACAGAACATCTTTAAACCAGATTATCAGAATCCCCAAAAGCTACTGCTCTGGAAGAACACGAGGTGCCAGATTAACGTTACCTACTCCAGCAGGAAGAAAGCTGCTCCACGGTTTTTTCCTCCACCTAATGCGTCCACCTCACCACCCAGTTTGAGATCATTATCAATCCCACCATGCAGATACGTTCTGAAGATGCTGAACAGCATGGTGTCCTGGATCAAACCCTCAGGGACCCCACCTGTGACAAGCTACCAGCCCAGGTTAAAACTTTCCATCACCACCCTCTGAGTGCAGCTGCTCAGCCAACTTTCTACCCATTTGCAGACTACTCACCCACTCTGTACCTTGCCAGTTTGTCCAGGGGAAAGCTATAGAAAACAGTGTGAAACACTCTGCTGCATTAACTCCCTAAATTCTGACCAAACTACAACAAAAACACATAGAATCAAAGAACTGTAGAATGGTTTGTGTTGGAAGGGCCGTTAAAGCTCATCCAGTTCCAACCCCTTGCCACGGGCCCGGACACCTTCCACTAGAGCAGGGTGCGCCAAGCTCCATCCAACCCGGCCTTGAACACTGCCAGGGATGGGGCAGCCACAGCTTCTTTGGGCACCCTGTGCCAGGGCCTCAGCACCCTAAGATCATTCATCCTCACCATTCCTAAGAATTGCCATTTCAGATTTGCTCACGGTTTCATTGAACAAGATGCCAAAAAAATCCACTGCAGATCTGTCCCAAGCAGCTATTTTTCTCTAGGAAAACATCACAACAAAACAACTGGATTTTTTTTCTTCACAAGGGAGAAAAGCCAATAGAGTCTTTAATCTGAACCTAAGTCCTCATGTTTTTAGATGAACTCTGAATACCTGTTAACCCAGACTCACAGATGTGAAAATCCTCTGAAGTCGTAGTGAGAAGGAAGGTGGTGATAATGAACTGAGGTCCCCTGAATAACTCACAGTTCAGTATAACCTGTCAGACAAGAAAAGAGTAAATGGACTTTGCACACTGACCTGACGAAGGTTGATGTAAACTGCATTCTGAAGAAACTCAGAGGCTTCCATGCTCCTTTTCTGTATGGCGAGGACTCTCACTGCCTTCACGCAGGCTTCCAGCTCAATCACCCCAGCATTCTTGTACTTGAAGAGGGAGAAAATTAAAATCATATTGAAGTATTGCACCTGTTAGATTTGATAAGTATTTCTGCTCAACACATAAATCAGCTGTCACATCTTCCAAACCCAGCAATTCCTTAATGCCAGTGACTATACTGTTAAACTATCAGCATATATCCAAGTGTAAATTAAGGTGTCATCTAAAATGTTATTATGCAAAACGATGGCTTTCAGCCTCTTCACTCAATTTCCTTATTCTGAGACACAACACAACTTTAGAAAGAGTTCAGATGAGGAGAAAAATTGGGAATATCAGGATCATTTTGGGTAATGTCATATATATGTGGGTGCAGTGAGGTGTTGCAACAAAGGAATAAATTCTGCCTTCACAGGGTAAGAGGCATGTAAGCAAAAGGGTCAGTTTTACAGTAATTCATCACCACCTGAAACTGCTCTACTGCAATAAATGAGGAATTAATCTCACCTTTTCTACTTACTATGAAATACTTTATACAGGACAGGATGCTGTAGCAACAACTTTGGTTTTACCTGCATCACTTTTCTCTTGAGTTAAAACATTATCACTGATGACAAGTGATTTACAAACCATTCTGAGTTTTCTAGTATCTATTTACAAAACATTTTCTGTAAATGACTGTTGTAGTTATCCAGCTTGCTTAAGAAAGGCAGGAGACAAAGTAGATGTGCATTGATCTGTCTTAGCTCTGCAACAAAGAGGCTATTTTCTAGACAATCCAACCTAGTTATTTCCTCAAACAATGCTGATATTGGGTATTTCAGTCAGCCCGTTTCCTGCTGCAGATAAACTCTGCTTGAGTATTTATCATGCTTGAAATCTAATGGGGGAAATGAAGCTCAGCACAAAATGCAAGAGTTACTTCACCAAAGCACTTACATATTCCTCTCACAGAATCACAGAATCAACTGGCTTGGAAAAGACCATGAAGATCATCAAGTCCAACCATTACTCCAGCACTGCCAAGGCCACCACTAACCATGTCACTGAGGGCCTCATCTTCATTGTTTGTGAACATCTCCAGGGACGGTGACTCCAGCACTGCCCTGGGCAGCCTCCTCCAATGCCTGAGCACCCTCTGGGGAAGGAATTGTTCCTTCAGCTCCATCTAAACCTCCCCTGGTGCAGCTTGAGGCTGTTTCCTCTTGTCCTGTCACTTGTTCCTTGGGAGCAGAGACAACCCCACCTCACTCCATCCTCCTGTCAGGCACTTGTAGGGAGTGATAAGGTCCCCCCTGAGCCTTCTCTTCTCCACATTAAACCCCAAGAGGTCCCTCAGCCCTTCCTCATCACACTTGTGCTCCAGGCCCTGCACCAGCTCCGTTGCCCTTCTCTGGCCCCGCTCCAGCACCTCAATGTCTCTCTTGCAGTGAGGGGCCAAGAACTGAACCCAGGATTCGAGGTGCAGCGTCACAACTGCCACGTGC